ACAGTCTATGGCAAAGAGGTGTTTTCAACTTGAACATCGATCGGTGTATGACATCACAGTACGGCGAGAGAAAGCATAAGGAGACGTCTGCTCTCTTATAGCTCTCGCAGTACTTTGATGACACACCGATCGGTCTGAGCAACGCTGCTTCAAGTCGAAAACATCTAAGCAGTCTTCAGAAGAAGCATCAAGTTGGCAAGCTACAGTGTTGCCAAGTCCGAGGTTTGGGGAACCCCTCCAAAATGTGTATTTTACCCCCTGGAACGCGATTTTTACCGGTGGAGCCCCCTCGAAACGCGATTGGGCTAGTTTTGAGTAGCAATTGGGCGGGTTTTGTTGTGAAAACCTGGCAACCCTGGCACGCTACACGCAGAAACGGCTGAAAGCGTATATAATGAACAGACTTCAAAACGGCACATTGAAATTACTCAAGCAGTAACAGTTATGGTGCATTTCATTACTGAAGACTTCGACCTTCAAGACCCAGGCAGGTGCTGGTCATTCAAAAGCTAAATGCAGAAAATATGACGAGGTATATCTTGCTCTCGGCTTCACTCACCGTGTCTATACCGGACACTACAGTTGTTGCGTCGCGCCACAACAGCTCTACACTGGACGCGACAAAGCGACCGTTGCAAATCATTTTAACTTTGTGTCAATACATGTTTACATATGTTTATTACAGTGACTCTGAATTACCTAAAGTATTAGATTATTTTCCAAAATCGTTCAGCCCAAATCTGAATAGCAGTTTGCTACAAACACTCAGAGCACCCTAGAAACAGTAAGAGTGTGCTAAAACATCCTATAAACTGAATAGCAACATGCTAAAACACTCACACCCTAGAAACCCTAGTAAGAACATGCTAAAAACAATGAGAATACTATCTGAAAGCAATGTTACCAGCACTTACAACAGTGAGTTGATTCGTCTTTGGCATCTCCTCCTCATTTTTGAACAGACACATACACACAGAATTATGTCAATAGTACCCGTCTCGACGATCATTCTCGTAAACGCAGTCAATTATGTTTTAAATGAATGCAAACAGCTGATAAAGAAATCGGATGTGTATCATTATACTGGATCCGTGGAGTCGGATTTAAAGGGACAGCAGCCTATAAATACGTGCAGCTGAATATGTCACTAATGTTAACAAAACAACAAAACCGCTATAACAAAGATTAATTTAAATTTAATTCATACAGTGAACACAATGCAGTGTTATTTTACACTTAATTATTAAATTTCTGTACCTGAATACTACTGTTTATTTTATCTATGCTTGTAAATTGTGTATTTCTTTTTTTTTCTTTTTCTTTCATTTTATTTTACTGACTGTTCACTTGCCTTTAAACATGTTTGAACTTTCTCAGACTATAGTTTTTGCTGTGGTATATGAAGAAGTACTTCAAGTGTGTGGAAAGCAAAGTCACAATGATATAAAATTAGTGTCATTCATTTTTTTTGTCATTCACATTGATGTTAAAATTAAATTTTCTGATTTGTGACATTACTTTTTATGTACTACTAAAACACTGCTGGTCACTTTCAGAAGTTGTAGTGATTCTTTCTTTTCCAAGAAAGAACGTGAAAAATTGGTTATATAATTACATTTTTTTAATATTTTAAAATATAATTTAAAAAGATTTTTCACACTTTAAGCAATATCGTATCGCATATTGAATATCGCATTTTTTAACAAGGTATCGCGTATTGCATTTTTTTTTTTATATCGCACAGCCCTAATAGAAACTAAACAGCAATGTGTTCAAAAATACTATGTTAGCGTCTAATAGCAATTTGCTACAAACACTCAGAACACCCTAGAGACGGCAAGAACATACAAACACTCAGAACACGCTACAAAATGAATAGCAACATGCTAAAACACTCACTTTACTATTGCGTGAGGCCACGAGAGAGGATTTGAGAATGGCTGTGAAGTTAAACTGGTAGGTCAAGTGACAATGACAAAATGGTGGATATGAATTTCATCCATACTATCTATAGTATTACTGTATATATACTTTGCAAAGGAAGTTTCAAAAATTGTGAAGTTTCAAAACAAATATAGTACCTACTACACACTATGCAAATGAAGAATACCATAGCATCTGAATAGCAATATGCTACAAACACTGCAATGTGCTAAATGTTAGCATCTAAACAACAATTTGTAAAACCCTAAGAAAAAACACCCTAGAAACAAGCTAAAACACTCTAAAGACCTTGAGCAACTGAAAAGCAATGCCCTGGCAACCATTTGCAACACTCCAGCATTGAGGCAATGGGTTTCGCACAGGCAAACATCACTCACATTTTCTTTAGAAAAAGTAAAAATGTAGTTATCACTTGGGAAAAAGAATGAAAAGGCTGACAGCTTCCTCCAAGAAGCAGCTTTTTTTTTTTTTTTAAATCTTGCGCAGTTCTGGGTACTGAAGGGTCTTTTATAATTATGGTGCCATTTACTTCCGTGGTGACCTTGGGGGGGGGGGGGGGCCAAGGTGAAAGTGACTTGATATTCAAAGGCAACGCCAGCTCTCCTGTAGTGTCAGGACAATTCACCTGGTTATTACAGCTCCATGCAGGCTTCACAGAACCAATGCAGAAACTACTATGACAGTTTCAACTAATTCAACAATGAGTAATGGCCTATATTGCAAATAAATACAAAAGCAGATTGTATTCTTCCAATGTTACTACTTCAGGTTTTAGACAAGACACAAAGCAAAATAAATTTGCATTCATGATGCTAAATGTTGTGGGTTCCTGCAGCATTGGGGAGTTAGTTAACTAAAAGTAGTGACACTTGAAGGTGTAATTCACCACTGGCGAGATGGGATTTTGATAAAACTTGGATGTCCATGCAGTAGAAAGACAATTATTTCTTTTTAATTTGTGCTACGTGACTGAAAAACAGAGAGAAAAGGTCTGTGACATTAAATTTTGCTAAAAGCTAGGGATACTTCAACACACACTGGGCTTGATCCAACTGTCAGTGGGTTGGTGATACCGAAATGCAGAAGTAAAAGCTGTAGTTTCAACTAAAGCCATGAAGCTGTCAAAAGTCCGCCGGATGATGCATTTTGCGTAGCTTTTCCAGTAACAAGACATTTTTTTCTGGTTGCCACATTGTACTGTGACTTTACAACTCTTTTAGACAGTCCTCTCTCACTGATGTGGCATTAGAGAGTTATTATATTCATTATATGAAATCAGTTGAATGAATTGACATTTATCAACTCAAAAATAATTCCCAGATTAAAGTCCCTAACATGACATTTTTTTTTTCTTTTTTATATTTTTTATATTACTAGATGTTTTGCATTACTATTTTTACTCCGTTATATACAATACAGTTCAAAGTTTAGGGTCAGTATGATTATTGTTTTTTTAATAAATTAATACTTTTATCCAGCAAGGATGCATTAAAATGATCAAAAGGGGCAGTATGTATATACATGTATAATGCTACAAAAGATTTCGATTTCAAATAAATTTTTTGTTCTTCAATTAAAAAGTTTTTTTTAATCATAGTTCCTAAAAATTATTAAGCAGCACAACTGTTTTCAACATTGATAATAAGAAATGTTTTCAGCAAAATAATAACAAAAATAAGTAAAATATTTGTTAAATCAGCATATTAGAATGATTTCTGAAGATCATGTGACACTGAAGACTGGAGTAATGATGCTGCAAATTCAGCTTTGCATCACAGAAATAAATTACATTTTTAAATATATTCAAATAGAAAGCAGTTATTTTAAATTGCAATAATGTTTCACACTATTATTGTTTTTACTGTATTGTTTGATCAGATATATGCAGCTTTGGTGAGCAGAAGAGACTTCTTTCAAAATCATTTGAAAATCTTACCAACCCCCAAATTTTGAATGTTAGCCTAATTTGAAAATATATAATTTATGGTCATTTAAATAAATTAATATTTTTTCTTGTAGATAATAATGTCTGTTTAATTTGAATGCTTTCATAATGACGACAAAAGAACAGCACATCTCTTCTAAACAACCCACATTTTTTTAAATGACATGTCATGTCCACTAAAAACAAAAACATTGCTGCACTAGTGAGGTGACAACACTTAAAGGTCCCATGGCATGAAAATTTCACTTTATGAGGTTTTTTAACATTAATATGAGTTCCCCTAGCCTGCCTATGGTCCCCCAGTGGCTAGAAATGGCGAAAGGTGTAAACCGAGCCCTGGGTATCCTGCATATAAAAGCATCTAAAAACCAGCATGTCATGGGACCTTTAACAGTTAGAATGAAAAACAATAATATTGATGGCTTCACAAATTACCACTAATTTAAAAACCCCTCTAAAGCTAAATAACAAACTCAACTGTAACCAAAACAAGTTTAATAAGTTTAAACAAGTTAATCTGCTTGTGAATCAGAACGTACATCATACCGTCAACAGAAGGCCATGAGCCAAGAGCAGGCAAAAGGGCAGAGAAAATGAGAGGAAGATGGGATTTTAAAAGGCTTTCAGCGGGCATTAGCTTTCACCGGCTGCTGTGAATCTCAATCACATGCTTTGAGAGGTGCTGGGCTGACTCCAGAACAGAAAGGCAGTGGCTGGAGTCAAATCCTTTCAATTAAAGCTAGAGAGCGGAGCCATGTGGAGACGGGCGAAAATCTCATCAATCCTGCTCAAGGAGTGTGGACGGCCGAGCCTCTCGAAAGCTCCTCCTCGGCCGGCCGAGGTTTGAGTTAGATTGACTGCACAGCTGGGAAAGAAAATCAATTCTGGGCTCCACATTGTGATTTTGTTTATCAGTGGAACTGCCTCAGAGGAGAGGCGGCCTCGCTCTCTGACTCTTGAGGAAGGGGGATGTGACGGCTGAAAAGAAAAGACTGACACAGAAAACCCAGAGCAGTGGGAAAAGACATTTAAAGAGGGTATATGTGGGGGAGGAGAGAAGAAAAGAGAGGCAAAGCAAGCCAGGGTGAAAGTTAGACAAGGCTGCAGTTACCTGTCTCCTGTGTGCTTCCTGTTTCTGCAGTCTCCATTCCATCTGTGCTGTCTTCATCCTCCACCAGAGCTTTCCCTCGCCCCCGATTCCTGAGAAAGAGACATTTATTAGCACGCTTGCTTCAGGGAAGACTGGCTGATTGCGAATTAGTTAAATACAGTCCCAGCTGTCGCTGATTCCAAAGCGAGTGTCCGCTGGCCCTGGGTGGGGCAGCCATGTTTGTGTGTGGGCACATTTGTATACGTGCGCTGAAGGGGAAGTAACGGGTGCGAGACCTCTCATTAAAGCTTCTGTTCAATGCACGAGCATCATGAAGATGTCATTTCCTCATTTACTCAGAAGCCCTGAGGGCAGATGCACAACCCTGCTCTGGTGTCGCCACTCAAATCTAGATTGCACACTCAACGGGGTTTCATCTTCTTGGTGACTCATTCGCACAGGCAGCGTCCAGTCAGATCAGGTTTGGTCTGTTCACAGCATATGTGAGCATTTGAGCAGTGTGCTTCATCATGTGGTTTGCGTGAGATGTAATTTCACATTAATTAGCATTTTTGCTCTAATTTAAAAGCCTGAACAATTATACACAATGAAATAAAAACCATTTATGGGATTAAAGCTTTGTTGGATACATGCATCTTGAAAGGAAAATAACAGTCTAACCAGAAAAGCAGAAAATGGTCTCTAGATGAAAAGTGATGAAAAATAAGAGGGCTTGGAGACGTTGGGTGAGAAGGAAATTCATTTCAGAGGCCGAGTAAGAAAAAAGCTTTTGTGCACTGTTAAATGGAAGTGCATTTCCATTTCCACCTCAGAATAAAAAAATATAACATTTAAAAGAAACACTCCACTATTTTTGAAAATAGGCTCATTTTCCAACTCCCCTAGAGTTCTTACCCCCAGGCAGATGTAGGTGACTTTGTTTCTTCTAAATTTTGTTTAATTTGGTTTTGTTTGTGTATGTTTTTTTTGACTCTCAAAGCCGTGATTCCCATTCACTTCCATTATAAGACTGACAGACTGCAACGGTTTGAGTTAAAAATCTTCGTTCTACTGAAGAAACAAAGTCACCTACATCTTGGATGCCCTGTGGATAAGCAGATTAACATCAAATTTTCATTTTTGGGTGAACTATCCCTTTAAGTATTGTCTTTTTTTTACCTCACCCTTTCAATGGACTGTGCCAAAGAAGTGCACGATAGGCTACCAGACACAGGCATTTGCCCTCAGAAAGAGCGCAGTCTGAAGCTGTTGCCATGGTGCCACGTGATGCTCCAGTCTTTCAGAACAAGCAGTGCTCAGAGCACAGTATCTAATGTACAGTATGAACATACTACAACATACTAGAACACACTAACATCCCATGCAATCCAAAGGAAGAGAGAGGCCCTGTAAACAGTGGTTCCACGTCATTAACAATGACACACTCTCATGGCAATTCATAACTGATTCAGCGCTTTGGTGGGAGATTTCGTATGATTTCATTTGTACATTCTGCTTAAGATCCACTGAGGGTAATGAGGCAATGTTTTTTTTAACTGTATAGCCTAAAAGTTATGGTTTCTCCCGTTTATTATTATTATTATTTATTTTTTTATTTTTGGTTAATGGACCATCTTCTACTTTTATAATGAATAAAAATTTCCAAAAATATTATATGGTTAAATCTATCTGACCAAACATTATACAGATATTTTAATTTAAAATCAAAAGAAAAATAAAATAAAATTATATTTTGCATAAATACATAAAATGTGCATTACAGCATTGAGAATCGAATGAGAAAGTAAATTTTTTATTTAATTTGTATTACTTAAATGTAATTTTATTTTGGTTGTTTTGAGGTGGTATATGACCTGCACATGTTTACATGAGATTCCTCTACATATATATATATGATAACTGTCCATATACAATAAAAAATCAGTCATTAAAATTAATATTGTTAAGTCTGTCAAATGTGCCCTTTCATGTCCTGGTATTAGAGACACTGTTAAGTACTGCCACAAAATGCACAGCAGACTAATAGTTATTCAAATAAGTCAGGTTAATCATTTAAACCCATTATGATGATTATATCATAATGACTCCCAATCCTATAACATATTGCATAGTCCTATTGTCTGCAACTCTAATAAAACAGACCTGGGAGCCATTCTCGTCACGATCCACCAATTGAGAACCAGCTAACAAGCACATATCCATCTACAGCCAAACATCCATTTCTACACATCCGGCCCACAAATGTGCAGTAAAGATCCATGGCTGTCAGAATCCCACGGGGGAGGGGGGGCTCTTCTTGACTGATCTATGTATCACTTCATCAGGGTGATAGTTGTCAGGCATTCAAATGAAAGTCTCACAGTTTGAAGACAGAGGAGGTACGGCAAGCAGAGTTGAAAGGGAAGCCTGCCCCTCTCTAGGGCTGGAGTCAGGAGGGAGTGTGAGGGATGGATGTGTAAATACCAGTGCCACTGGAGAGAGAAATCGCAGTCTGTCCCATGCCAAAAATGACTCCTCCCTGCAAATGACTTCCTATACCAAACAGTTAACAAGGCTGAACGCTGACAAAGGGGTGGAGGGATTTCACCCTAGAGGTTACAGACACACATGGAGCAAAATCTTCAACCACATGCCTGGGTTTAAGGAGCTAGCTGAAATTAGCAGTTGAAATTAGTTGACCAGTTTATTTATATATATATATATATATATATATATATATATATATATATATATATATACAGACCTCAAAAACTAATTAAATGTAATCTTTTAAAAAATATTTATCAGTCTTTGCCACTATCCTTCAATCCACTGGGTTTTACCCATTTGTTGGCATGACATTTTGAATCATTTAAAATATATAAAAATGTAATATGATAATTTTTTCTTTTATATATTTTAATAAGTACATGTCAGAATAAGCATGTTGTTTAATTTTTACACAAATAAACAAAATGTTTACTGAATGACAATGGAACCTTATTTCACCCAGATTTATTTAAAGTAAAAAAAAATTTTTTTATCTTATTTCTCAGGTCTACCTGTAGGCCAAATCAACATATATAAAATATTAACATACAACCAAATAAAAAATGCAATAAAATTATAATACTTATAATAATAACATAAAACAATTTACTGAACTAAAATAAACATATTTATGCACAGTTATATAAATATTTATACAATATTAACTAAAAATTAACAATATAAATGAAAACAGAAAATGTGTATTATTCACATTTTGTCAAGCTTTCAGTAAATTACATTTTTGTTAATCAACCAAGCATGAAAACCTATCGGTTGATGCTGATAATCTCAAAAGAGCTGATATAAATTAACTTGAACATTGCCAAATGCAAGTAAAAATGGTCTTTGTAGAATTACATGCCAGTATATCTTCTCTTTATTAGGAACTACAACCAACTGTTACATACTGAAACTTTTTTTTTTTCTCTAAAAACCACCAAAATAAAAATAGGAAGAACAAAATCACAATGTGTTTACGTTTTTGTGCCACTGGCTCATCTCATACTGTGAGCGACAAAATGATGATGAGGTATCTGTTCATAAGATAATAATTGAGCAAAATAATCCCATTATCATAGGGACAAATATGTATTTTTAAACAAAAACACTAAATACAGCTTCACTGTTGAAACATTTATTGCCTGTAAATATGGCCAACCATTTGCATGAGCTCATATGAGTAAGTAAACAAAGACTGGAGTCTGAGCTTAATATATCTAGTTCAAATATCACTTGTCTGAGGACAAAGACGTTTGTAAGCGGAGCACCAAGGTAGCCAATGGGAAAATCATTTAGCACACATATAACACAAACATGTTCATTTAGCACATCCCTATATGCCAGACAATGAAGCTAATATTGTTCAGACAGGTTCATTCATAATGCACTTTAGTTTCGATTGATTTGGTCCGTATACCTTTAGAGTAAATCTTTAGCTATTCAAGCTGGTTGGATGGAGGCACCACAGAACGAATTGTGTTAACGCCCAAACCCAAGATGGCTCTGTAGTAGACAGAAGATTAAATATGCATCACGATTCCCAGACAGCCAAACATCAACTCTGTCTGGATGAGGAAACATGAAAATGTCCTACTTATGAATGGTCTTTATTGATGTCAACGAACAAACGGAACAATATTTGAACAGCTTTTCTGTAGCTCAAACAGTAGAGCATGGCGCTAGCATTAGCAACACCACAGCCATGGGTTCGATTCCAAAAGAATGCATGAATGCAATGTGAATCACCTTGGATAAAAGTGTCCACTAAACTCATAAATGATATTCATTTAATTCCAACATTAAAAATGCCATTCGCAAACCATTTTACTTCCATAATGGGATTTGGTGAAACGGTATTCAACGAGAATAAAACTGAATGAAGAATATGACATCATGAAAATTTTAATGGCTGGTTTAAATGACTTAGTTTAAATAGTAGACCTTAGTCTCATTCAGGAATAACATCATAGCCTGACAGGTATGATGTCATTTAGCCTCCACCTGCAATTGCCAGTCATGTGTCACTATGTAATGCTGACGTTGTTTGTTTTAAAACCCTGTGTTGGCTCTGCAAAGCGTTAAATGTCACAGGTAAAATAAAAATCGTCATTCAACACAGACATTTAAAACTTGGTATTTTTGTGCATATATACACATACACATTGGTACTGGTCTATGTGTTCGCAAAACGAAAAGAGTTAGAACTAGGGGTGTGCGATATTGACAAAAAATAATATCTTGATATTTTATGGGATTTTATCGATAACGATAATTAGACGATATTTTGCTGAGTGTGTTATTGTGCTGGTACCTTAAGGACTGCCGAAGACAGCTGACTCCTAATGTTTTTAATATTCTTCATATTCTGTGTGGTGGTCAGTTCATACTGATAGAAATTAATCTTTTCCAATAAGTTTAAACTTATTTTTGCATTTTATGGGCATTTTTACCTTTATAAAGCCATTTTTTCTAAAAGTGTCCATTATCTTTTGAGTCAAATTCTTAGATTTAATCAGGGAATTAGAATAATAAGACATTTGGGCTGTTACCAAGCAAATTA